CTTAATCGGTATAGCTGTGCCATAATTTTTGCATTTATGAGCGTAATGGTTCTCCCGAGTGCTTAACGTTACGTGTTCACACTTCTCAAGCACACACACACGAGCATTGTAAGTGTATCGGTAAAAAAAAATCAAACGTCCGTTAGACATCCGTTGGGTAAATCGCTATGAAGTTTTTAATTACCGCACTAAAAATTACCCAACGCTCTTGTACGATATTTGTTTTTCTCAACGAGCAGTTGCTTAATTATACGGCGATAAAAGCTTGCAAACAGGGACACCAGTAGGAGACCGACATCCCATGATCATGTATATAACACCGTACATTCGTGTGAAATGTAAAACAAACTGAAGCCTTTAGTTTGCTCGTCCAAGCCATTGCTGGCAGAAGGTTAATCAATAGAGTTCCTCAAAGTGGGGTTATTTAATTGGCAGCCGTCTTGGAAGAAGTGTGAATACGGTGCTCAGATGTAAAAATTGTAAATGTGGTTTTACGCTTCAACACCGGTGGGCTAAAGCAGTGAACTATGTGTCTTTTGTCAACGTGACACTTTTTTTGCTGATTGGCCGTGTCGGGTGGTGGAGGGTTACGACACATTTATAAATAACGCGATCTAAACCCAAAAACGTTGATTATGAATAATATTGGTCGCGAAAGCCTGCTACGTGTTAAACAGATGTAGGAGAGTTTAGAGTTTACTCAGAACTAGTAAGATTTGAGAGGTGTATTATTTCAAAGTAGACATGAAGTGGCAATGCCACTCTTGCGTTGAAAAGGCAACTCAAAAGGAGAAAGAATCTGGACTACAAAGCCAGATCGAGGGATAGAGATCTTGGATACAAACACGGGTTACACATGATGTGAGAGGGATTTGTCATGGTCTGCCTTGCTCCACTCTGTATTGGGTTTCTATAACCGTTTTTTTTTATAGCAATGTGTTCGGAAAATCGATTATTGGTTAAATAAATGGATACAAAATTACAATTCCGTGGTTCTCAATCCACCAAATTGGATGAAGGCCCCCAGTTCGATGCTAGCCGTGGTCCTGGGTTCGAACTCAGGTGGCCAGGGTCATTTCAGTTTCGAAACCACTCCGCCACCGCTCCACATCAATATTTAACTTACATGTCAAGCATGTCAAGTATAATTTAGGAGTGTTTCCGTTTTAAATCAAAACTAGCTACGCAGGATTGAGAACATCCAATTGTAGATACTGCAGGGATTCATATTCTTGGTTCTTTCGGTAAAGTCACGTAGAAGGGAAATAATTAAATAATACAAATATACAACAATAAAAATTCTCACGACGTTTCGACTGCAACACAAGCAATCATCATCAGGTGTGAAATCCACTTTTTTTAAATTTTCTTGCTGTGGATTTCACACCCGATGATGATTGCTTGTGTTGCAGTTGAAACGTCGTGAGAATTTTATTGTTTTATATTTCTATTATTTTATTATTTCCCTTCTATGTGACTTTACCGAAAGAACCAAGAATATCAATTGTAGCTAGTTAATGTAAATGTTGTTTTTAATAACGTTAACTGTTTTGAAAGTTGCAACAACCGTCATGTTTCTGTCGGTTGATGTCAAATTAATTTGCCTAAAATAAGTGGCCGGTTGGTGGCCGTTTGAGAAGATAAAAGGACGGCTGTTTGGAAAACGATAAAGTTACTCAACGTGCAAGTTTGTTTTAAACAACTCGAGGCATTCGTAAATACCACCAAAGTGTGGATAATTTAACTTTTTTTTTAAAGAGGAAAATTTTTTTGTGTTTGGCCACGCGGCGAAGAGCCTCAGCCATCGATTCGCGGCTCTGATTCTTTGATCAGAAATTCCACATCGTGGTGGACGTGGCGCCTCTTAGTGGCTGCAGGTTCGCTGGAACAAATTATAACCTCACAGCATCGGGATACATATAAATGCAAACTCAGCTTGTGTGAGTTTTTTGTTGAAATGTCACTTTGAAGCGTACATTTAATACTGTAAATTCAATACAGTATCAATGCAAATACAGGAGCTGGTATTTAGAAAATGTATGTAATCTTATTCTTAAGAGGTTCTCATGTTTTTTTATTCTGTTGGAGAGGTCTTCATCCAGCAGTAGAATCTTCTTTCGCACGGCAGGATTGAGGAGCAACAGATTGATTTGAAGCTTTCGTGACTGCAGGAATCCATACTCTTTGGTTCTTTCGGTAAAGTCACGTAGGTGAAAAGGCTTTCCCACCAGATGACGGACGCTTGTGTTGCGCCCAAAACGTCGTGGTTTATTTTATTTTATACCTACGTGACTCTACCGAAAGAACCAAAGAGTAAATCAACAGATTGATAAGCAACATTTGCGATTGAAAACAGTTGTGATTGAGAAGCAATAGTTGTGGTTGAGAAGCAAACAGTTGCCTCCGATCCGTTGTAGCCGCGTTAATATGTTTCACAATGACAAGAGAAGCGTCAGGAAATGCCGCTGTCTCCTATAACACTGGTCAACAAAAAACACGTTTTTTTCTGGCCTGAACTTTTGCAGCTGTTTTAGACTAATTTCAGGGTGCTGATTCCAAATCTGATCTCAGATTTGCTCTATCACATCTCATTTTTATGTTATCGGCATACGCCCATTTTCATTGATTTTACCCGAAATTAACTGTCACTTATGATTGAAAGTTGTTGCGAGTCAGTGACTGCTTTAGTGTTAAAATATGGTGCTGTATTTTTAGGATAGTGTGTTTATAATATCATTTTATGTAGATATCCACATTTATTTAATATTTTCTTCTGCAGTTTTTATTGAAAATGCAAAAACTGATGCCAGATTTGGAATCAGCACCCCAAAATTACCTTAAAACCGTTGGAATACCTTATGCCAGAAAAAGTGTGTTGACCAGTGTAATTTCTTTTTTTGAGGACATTATGGAGAATGTATGGGTCGTAAAATGTTCACGTGTGACACGTGGTGGTGCTTACCAAAAAGAAAGCAATTTGCGTAATTGAAGCCACTTGGAATGGGCACTCAACCGGCGAGCAGTCAATAGCCCAGCCCAATGTGACCAATGGTATTCATGCCGCTAATGGGTTGACTGAATCATTCCCAAAGCAGGTTTTGATGCAGACTCTGAACAGGACACTGCGGCACAAGGAAGAAAAATCACGCGCGCGCGCATGAGTGCCAAACGTCACGCTTACCAACACGCGTTTGTCCTCAGATGTTTGCCAGCGTGTTGCCCCGACGGAAACGGATGGGTGGCAGCTACCTGTTATTGTATCACTGGTTGTCTGTAGGATTTGGGCAACCCATATTTGGCTGCTTTTTTTTCACCGGGGAAGTCCCTCGATAGCAACGTCACTTAACAAATGACATTTAAATGGCATTTGTTTCGTATCGGATGTCCTTTACGCGAGTTGTCGTGACTCCCTCCCCCCTCCCGTGTTGCACACAGACAGGAGACAGGGAGGAGAGCTAATGTTAGAACGCTTTCAGCCTTATTTAGAGAGTGTTTGAAAGGGAGCAGGAGACAACGCTGCTATAGCCACGCGGGGCCGTTTCAACCGTGGGCCACCCGGGCGTGTGAGCCAACTTGATAAATGGATAATAAAAAATAATAGAAATAATCATAAAAATAAAATAATTATTATTTTTTTTCTTCTAGATTTGAAGCTTTCGTGACTTCAAGGATTCATATTCTTAGGTTTTGTCGGTAAAGTCACGTAGGTAAAAATTTTAAATTAATAAAAGTTAAATAAAAATAAAAATCAAGACGTTCGGAGGCAACACAAGCTTCCGTCTTCAGGTGGAACAGTCACAGCACGATAGCTGTATCAAGTGAGAGAAATTCCAAAAAACCCGTATTTTTATATATATAAAATAAACCCGTATATAAAAATACGGGTTTCTTGGAATTTCTCTCACTTGATACAGCTATCGTGCTGTGACTGTTCCACCTGAAGACGGAAGCTTGTGTTGCCTCCGAAACGTCGTGATTTTTATTTTTTTTATTTTACTTTTATTTTTTATTTTTTACCTACGTGACGAAAGCTTTAAATCTAGAATTGATAAATGGACCCCGGCGGTATGGCCGAGCGCCTGTGTTTGAGAAGTGCCAGCTTAAATGGCTTTCGAATGAAAAGTAACAAGTGCCCGTTCACGCCTTCATGCCCACCGACCTCCACCGACCCCCCTATCCCGCACCCTCGCTCGCATTATATCCCTCCCGACGCCCTCCTGCACTGGGCTGTGGCAACAGTTGTCTGTGGCAACGCTTTGCGTGGGGTGGCCTGATAGGGATTGTGCAGGGGGGCCGTACACACATTGACAAACAGGCACACACTCACACTCTCTATAGAGCCACACTCATCTTACCCAATCTCGGACACAAGAATCTCTGGGTTAGTCTTACAGGCTTGGAGCAAGTGCTGTCTCGAACGTGTCAGCACGCAACGGACGCACACGTGGACACATTTACGCTCACACACGCACATGTCAAAGTCTCACGCACGGACAACATGTCATGCACGCGCACGTACACTTCACATTCACGCAATGGCTCAGTCGCACATGCAAATCATCTGCACGCTCAAGTCTCCCTCGTCGTTTAACAAACTTACCGCACAATGTCACACTCGTGTGCACTTATTCTCACCCACACGAGGCTGTGCGCAGGTGGGCTCCGGTAGCATTCAGAATTTAATTGGTGATTATTAAAAAAAATGCTTTGACTGGATTTTAACGCGAAGCTTGGATGAACGATCCGAATATCGGGCATTTATTTTGGGTGCCTCTGCCCACTTCACCAGCCCACACTGACCGGCGTTTGAAGTATGGTCAAACAACCCCCATAACCGACACGGCATGGGGGAGTCCTTCATTGAGCAGGGCCTTGACAAGGGCCTGTACATTAAACAAATGGTCCACACCTCTTGTGGGAAAAATCCCATCAAGCCATCGGTCTTCAGTCTCTCTGCAGCCTTCCTTGCCTAACCCCTGAACCCTCCCTCCTTGCCCAAGGGAGCCGTGAAGATGAGCATCACCGCTGACCCGTATGTCGGCTCCTGGAGGCCCCACCGTCGCCGTGGCCCCATCGCCGCCCTTTACAGCGGCCCTGGTCCCAAATACGCGCTCCCTGGAGTCACAGGTGAGGTTCCCCGAAGACCTTGGTCCATAGAGAGACCTTGGATGTTTGTTTGTGAAGGTCTCGGTCTCCTTGGAACCATCGACCGATGGGAAGGCCTGTTTTTTCACAGGGCGATCTAGAACGAAGGAGGTGTGTGATGGTCTTGGTTCAAATGGAACCCTAACACCGATGCGGTGCCAGCCCATGTGGAGGCCCTAATCTTGAAATTATATTCTGAACAAGCTGTATAATTTCACTACACTATATCACAGTTGTGTGAAATAAGTGAATCGTTGAATTACAATAAAAATTATTTGCGTTTTTGAGGTGTGTTATGCGAATGATGAACTTACACTTTTTTATAAGGATCTTAGTTTGATCTGATATCTTTTATGTTTTCATTAATCCGAAGCCCCTTTACTTGTTTGGGGCCCTAAACTTTTGCTTTCTTTACTTGTGCATAGTTCCACACCTGACCTCGATCAAAAAGAAAGGGAAGCTTAGTACTAAAGATAAACCTTTGGCAATCTGAATGTTCTCTGGCCATCCGCATTAAACACCTGAAGTGAAAATCTCCCTTCATTGAAACTGATTTAAATAGGAGTTGAGAGAAATGATTACCGTATATTGTTTAACGCAAAACCACCCCTGATCCCTTAATTATTTTCATCTGCTTGAAATGAATGCTATAGACCTTATGACAGCAGTTTCAAGTGTTGTTCCAATGTCATAGCCAAAATGCCTAATCTAAAGGAAGAATACAGTGAATATTGATGGGCTTTCATTTGGCCAAATGACATAGAATAAAAGTCTGTTTTTGCATTGGAGTGGAAATCAGAGTGCCCTAAAGCTACCACACTAACATGTAATATTATTCAAACTCAAGACGGGCTAGGAACCAGGTGTGATATCCTAGCTCTTCCTGATGCTGAAGAAAAAGCCATTGGTGTGTTGAAAAATATTGCTGTAAGAGATGTACAATGACAATCCAATGATAATTAGTTTTGAGAGTCATGGCCACGTGAGAAGTGGCTTATTATTCACAGGACATCAATGCGCATTGGCCAGATCGACTAGAAGCACTTGATGGAATCGTTTTGAGTCCACTTTGAATTGATTTTTCAGTCATGAAATGACCTGCAGATGACGAGTATTTTTTTTACTTTTTCTCCATTGTATTCCAAACGTGCCTTTATCATGTTATGAGGCAGGCATTCCCAGTCAAAATTACCATCGTTCACCATCCTGTGTTCGGGAATGGGCCACCCCAGAAGATAACGTCATAGAACTACCTCCAAGGTCTCTTCAATTGCCTATTACCTCCACTCCTCAGATATCTACACTTGTGTACACCGCACCATATGGCAATCAAACTGAATTTTATTTTAATCCTCTGTTGAAAATTGCTAAATTCAGTGAAAACCAAGTTCAATAATATTTTTTGTGCGTTAAATCACGAGTGAATGGCCTGAGACCAACCTAAAATTATTTGCAAATTCAGTTTAATCATGGGTGGTTGTCCATGATTAAATTTTGCGCCTCAGAGTGTGCAACTTTTCTTTGAATGAAGTGAAATTTTGTGGAAAAACAACATTCGTTTAACAATAATTTACATTTATTTGATGCCTCGCTAAACCATCAAAGTTGCTCATTTTTAAAAAACGGTATAATGATCAGTGCTTGCAACCTGCATACAAAATCCGTATCTCAGCGCTGGCTCAGTTTCGACTTAGTATTATTCTTGTGAGTCACCCGGCATGCTGACAGGCTTTGTAATTTTAAATTAAATTATTTCATTTTTAACTCGCTTTCAATGAACTTAATTGTACAATTTCCTAGCCTGTCATGAGATCATCTGCAGGCCACTTTGAATTGACTTGTTCTTGTACAGTCACATTAAATAGATTTTTTCCTCTCTGCAAGGTTACTTTAAATGCCTTTCAATTGACTTTCCTGAAACACAATCAATCACATGATTCCATGCTATTTTATACTTTGCAATTTCATTAATGAGCTGTTGCCATAACAATTTGATGACAGTGCTTAATTGGATGAGGTCATTCATTTGTATCATTTTGGACCCGATGATACAGCCTTGGGTCCAAAAAACATGGCATGATGTCCTTGGTATATGCGTTGCATGACCTAATACAAGACGTTTAACATCTTGTTACATAAAGAGGTCACAAAGTCATCTTATGTGAGCAGAGATATATCATTGCATGTACCGTACGAGTCTTCCAGTCGACCGCTGGAACACTGTTAAGAATTTGAGGGCTGCATCCTAGGTTTAATAGCAGCAACACGGTTGTAATGCAACGTCTGACATCGGTATGATGTCCGATGTAACACGGCACGCACTGGGAGCTTCTTCAGTTCCCGAAGAAGCTCTCAGCACACGGAGAAGCTCCCTGAACAAGGAATTAAACTTCGGACATTATGCCGAACAATGCGCGGTACAACCCGCAAACACGTCGGAGGGCTCAGCACCAGTATTTTTACCTGCCCCACCGCATCATTGATTCGCGTGTGGAACCTCTCGCACACACAACGGCCGCATCTCCTCTCTGCACGATCCGCCAACCTCACCTGCGCATTGCCGACTAAAATTCATTCGCCGTTCATTCTCGAGAGGTATTCGTCACCTGACTTGCGACACTGCCTACTCTTCCTCCACTGTTGCGTCCCCGCTTGCAGGCCACAGCCTGCACGACCCGACCAAGTTTAAGAACCCGGCGTACAGCTTCGGCTCCCGCCACGCTCACTTCAAGGAGGACACCTCCCCGGGGCCGTGCTACCTGGTCCCGTCTGCTTTGACACGCACCGGCCGCGCCGGAACACCGCACTACTCGCTGTACGGGAGGCCTCGCGAGCTAGGCCTGTTCAAGACGCCGGGGCCAGGTGCACGAGTGTTCCGAATAATTGTGTGTACATATGTATGTACATAGCCTGGCACAAGCGCCATGGTGACGTCACCGCCACTTAGTGGCAGTTGTTGTATGTACATATGATGGCGTCAGATGCGTATGCCACGTTACACATGTGATCAGCTGTAACCTTTATGACATGAGTCCCTATGACCGCATGGCAAGTAGTCAGGTGTGACCGTTACAATGAGAGCAAAGTATAATCTGCGTAACATGGGTTCCATGATCTGGACACATCTTAACATGGGGCAACTTTTGTGGATCTCTGGTTAATCTGTCACATTTGCTCTGTTTCGGCAGAGCCTGTGCTCCCGTGGGACGGAGCAGAGATCTGCCAATGATTCGCCGATAGACGCGAATCGAGTCACGAGGCCATATGACACACGGGCGTTTCTACCCTCCTCTCTGACCTCGAGCTGCATAGTGCACACACAGGGTCATGCTCTCACTTGCACTCACTCACCTCTCGATGCATACACATACACAAACCCAGGCTCTACTACATAAAGGACTTTGACAGTACTGTATTATCTTTTTTGCATCTTCCACGGACATCCTAGGGACTGACGTTGCAGTGCCTATGCTAATCGCACCTCCAATTAACACGGTTGTCTATGTACGGTGCAAAGAAATTTCAACATACATCCACACAAAAGTAGAGGCCTTGGGTGGGACACATCGCTAGAAGGGTTTATGCGTCCGGGAACCCTTCGAGCAACGTGTCCTACCAGTGGTGGAGCGGCAGCCAGGGGAGGGAGAGCGCCCGAGAGGACAACAACCGTGGAGATGGACCGAGGTGTCGTGGGACACGTGGGGAGTGGAAGAAAAAAAACATGGGGAGGCTTTCATCCAACAGTGGACAGAACACGGATGATGGTGGCTTTGATGATATTTTACAGTTTTGGGGCATAATGCTTCGGCTATTGTCACATGACAAAGCCCAGCGGCCATGGGTGACAGTGACGATACTCGGCTAGCAGTGATGTTTATCGGCACCCAAAAGTCAGGCACTTTTATTCCATTATTTGCATTTATCTGCGCTCCTTCACACAGATAAGAGGACAATGTGCAGATCAGCGCACATAGGTTTTGCCAATTTCGCCCCACAAATATCAGTGCGGATAAGAGGAGTTCCATTTAGGGTCATCATTCTTCATTGTATTTGTTACAATGGATTGGGGGTTGGTCTTTGTATTGGATTGTGTTACTGTTTGAGGGCTTTCTAAATCCAACCCCATTTGTCAAATGGAAGATGGGAAATATTACGTCGTGTTCCTTAAAGTGGCAGTTTGAGGCTCTAGCTTGGTGGCATAGAATCCCGAGAGCAGTACACTGATGAAAAGCAGAACGACCCCCTAGAAATTGGTAGTGATCACAACAGGGCTGTGAGACCATGGGTAATTATAGCATTGCCAAAGGCAGGTGACCATCCAGTTGGACAATTGCTCCACCAACGCTGGCAGTCGAGTACCGACCACTCATGAGTTCTGTGCACGCACAATCACCACACCGTGATTTTTTTCTTAGAGCCGGTCCGTTAATTTATAGCTGTTTCGTGGGCCATTACACGGGCCACTTGTAAATATGGGGTCTGCCCGCACATGCTGCCTCCCGAAGGCAGGAAACCCCCTGCAGGCCACGCCCAGCGTGACATGGCCAATGATGTCACTCAGCCCCTCCCAGCTGCACGCATGGGAAACAGAAGTGCGACTTTTATCCCCTAACTATTTTCGGGTTACAGTATCCGATTAATCGAGTAATTAAACTAATTCGTAGAGTAATTGAAATGTAAATAAACAGGTATCCCAGCGATGATTTGTTTTACTGTATTGCCTTAATGATACTGTATTACCCACATGCTCTACGCAAGCGTGGTTTTTCTCCAATTCAACAGGAGGTGGCAGTATTGACGTGTATTGGGCATAAGTGATTTGACAAATATGCCCCCTTATCCTTAGGCTACTAGAGCCTCCAACAAATGCCGATGGTGACCATCTATCACGCAGGTCCAGGCTACCGTTGCCCAGAGGTCGCAAACGAGTTTTGATTCCTTACCCGTACCCGTACCCGGCCGCACCAGGGTCGCAAACGGCTACCCGTACCCGGACGGGTACGGGTACGCGTTCCCTACCCGTACCCTACCCGAAATGAGTGACAAACGGTTACTCACCAGTGACTCACGGCCTACCCGTACCAGGCCGCACCAAGGTCACAAACGGCTACCCGTACCCGTACCCGGCTGGGTACGGGTAGCCGGGTATCGGGTAGGGTACGGGTATCGGGTACCCGGTTGCGACCTCTGCCGTTGCCTCCCCAGGTGCTTATGCTGGTAGATCGCAACTTGCTGGTAGATGGCAACTTGCCAGCGCACCGGGTGCTGATCATTCTGGGCTGCATCAAGCTAGGGAAGCCCCAGTCATGCTCAAAAGCCCGGTACCGCATTGACACGTCCCCATGTGTACACACCCGCCCTCTTGTGTAGCACTTAAAACGCATGCCTGTGCTTGCGTACACAGAAGTATTTATTTTGCATTTGGAAGTGGCTGGCTCGATATACCGGTGGTCAGCAAGCGTACAGTTTGCTTTCGGTGGACTTGCTGACCACGAGGCCTCCCTTGAAGCACCTAGCACGCTGCACGTGCTGGGAACTTCTTCGGGAAACCGATTCATTTCAGTTCCGAAAGAGGTGCCCGGCCCGGGGGAGAGAAACGTCGAACGGCGTGCCGAACAACGGCACGCGGTACAACCCGAAAACACGCCGGAGCGAGCCGTACAGGAGCACAAGCATGAGAATCGACATCACTGTGTGTTGCTCGTTACTTGTAAATAGATTACGAAAAAAATAGAAGCTGACCCTTGGGTGCAAAGCGCACGCGTAATCAGGGCATCAAACTTATGACCCCTGCTTTCATTCGTCCTTGCTCATTTGGCTGCTTACCCTGAATCACATCGCGGTATTGGATATCAGCCCCTGAGTGGGCTAAAAGATAGAAAAAAATCATTACTGGATGAAGTTTCACACCATGAAGATTTTCTATTCTTAGACCCTCTATAGCTGTAGACGTCTGCACACAGAGTGTATGGTACATACGCTACGTCTCTACGAAAGCACAAAACTCTGCCATGTCGTGCACTCTGTGCATTCGACACGGTGTGTGAAGGAAGGCCTTAAGCGTGCAATGGATGAACAAGTGGATGAAAATATTTTTTATTATTATACATCCACGGATATACTGCAAACAGTAGTATGCTTAGCTAGTATGTGTGAATAGAAAATAACGCACTGAGGGAAAATGTATTCATCAACTTATATTGATGTCCTAGTTTAGAGTCAAGTATATGTATGTATGTTGGACTTCTTTCACACCGTACGTAGCCAACCGTGATAATTGGTGGTTGTGTGGTCATGAATATCAGCACTCACCGGTGCTCATATTCATGACCACACCACCATTGTAGCATAGTACGTGCATCACATTGTGTACCTTATAACAACAAAAAACTAAACCTATTTTAATCTAACAAATGTCACCACTTGAGACATTTTTTTTTAATTGGAGTGTACATGTTAAAACAAATACTGTACATAAATTATTTCCAATAGATTTCCCTTGTGTACCAATTTGGGTTTCACACCTTGTTCTTGGCCAAGTCATGCAGCTTCTTAAAATAGGCTACAAGAGAAACAATAGCACTAACTAAGAAGCCAGGGAAAGTGGTCTACCATACCCCTTTTCCACAGGCACATCCGAACCATGACAGTGTGGTGCTGTCACGGTAGGGGTAGGTAGTTTTCCATTGGCTATTTGCCAAGCAAGATCAGAACCAAATGGTGATACACTGACCTCACAAGGCTTCTGAATCCTGCTCAGGGCCAAGCAAGGCCTGAGCAAGTTTCGACTCGACTCGTTCATTACGTATGACGTCTGTGCCACAGCTTGGGTCCTGCAGTGGAAAAACCTGCCGCCCTACATAGCCGCACCATGCCATGCTGGCTCAGCACGGCTCCAGTTGCGGCTTGTTTTGGAAAGTGTAAAAGAGAGCACTTGCAAAGCGATAATTGAATGTCTCGTTCTGAACGATGCACGCATGATTTTAACTTTCTCCCACGATGCCACAACAGGGAGTTATTCCCCGGAGAGAGCAGGCACCGTGGCTTTCCGTTCAGCACCCTCCTACTCACTTACTGCTCGGACCGACAGCTTCCATCGTGACCAGACTCCCGGTGAGACACGTCATTTTGAGCAGCATCAAATTGTATTTTTTTTGGTTCATTAACTTTTCATACTCCACCCCTCCTCCACTGCGAGCGTGTATCCCGCGAAAATCCGCGGGCAGTGCGAGTATTTATTAAATCAAATGTACACAAAACCATCTGGCGTTGCTATGTAGCATAATGGGTAATAACATTAAAACAAGTTTCAAGCATGACCTTTTCACTTTTAATTTCAAGTATACACTACGTGCAATTGCCATGAAGAGTGCTTTGGACATCATTAGGGCATGCCAATGATGCAAACCAGTCTACCAGTATATGTCAGCCAGGGACTTGGATGGTAGGGTGACATAGGCATGAAAGCTGCGATGATGGTGATGATAACAAATGCATGGATGAATCGCCCGTACACCTGCTGGGCAAGAGCAAGTTTAAAGACTTCACATATTTATCGATATCACTGTCCCAAAAGAAAATATATACTTGGTGAAATTGTTTGTCAACGGCCCTTCTTCATAGCCATATGGCCCTTCGTTACAGAGAAAAGGGTCCATAATGCAGTTGTTTTGGGTTGTGAAAGCCTACGTATTAAACAGGGAAGAGTCATTGCCCAAACATCACCATATTTATATAGATTTTATTTTCGGGCAGGGTTATTGACAAATGCATAACGTTTTTGTCCTGTGTGATTGTGCACGTCTGCCAATGCAGAAGAAGAAAAATTATAATAATTTTCGTTTAATCAATAATCGTGCGATGTTATACATTCACTACCCCTTTACCGCAAGCCAGACTCTCCTGCTCGCCAGCGAAAATATCTCCTTGCATTCCACAGGGCCTGCCAAATACATGCTGCCGGCCATGCTCGGTCCCCACGTGATCAATAAGTCTTCCGCGCCAACCTACTCGCTGTCGAGCCGCGGCAAGATCGGCAGCTTTCACGAGGATTTGCAAAAGGTGACTAATAACGATAATGATGATGACGGTGGTGGTGGTGCTATTTAAAAAGAGTCTTTCATCAGTCCCACTCCCCAGATATCCCCGGCGCGTTGTACCGGACTTGTGTGCATACCTCAATACAAACACTACATATGTGTATGTTTCGATTTAAAGCTTTCGTGACTGCAGGGATTCATCTTCTTGGTTCTTTCGGTAAAGTCACGTAGAAGGGAAGTAATAAAATAATAAAAATAAAACATAATAAAACAATTCTCACGACGTTTCGGCGACAACACAAAGTGCGCCTTGACAAAAGAATCTGCATATCAAGAGGAATTTAGCATATTTATGGAAAATGCAGGAATGCGACTAGTACTACTTGTGAAATGCGTAGGAGGTGGGCTAAATTCCTCTTGATATGCAGATTCTTTTGTCAAGGCGCACTTTGTGTTGTCGCCGAAACGTCGTGAGAATTGTTTTATTATGTTTTATTTTTATTATTTTATTACTTCCCTTCTACGTGACTTTACCGAAAGAACCAAGAAGATATGTGTGTATTAAAAACAAATCGCCTTTCATCAAGAATCTCAAAATTCTGTACACATGAGACACTCAGCGTGATAATAACTACAAACGCGTCCGTGAGGGAATCAACGTGACGTCGCCTCGTGCAATCCTGATTTCTTGACTTTTTATTCGCTGAAACGAAATTTACTAATCTGTAGTCATACAATGTCCAGAATTTGTTGTTGTTAAAGTAATTGGAATGTGTTATTCTATAAATGTGAAAAATAACTGTCAATGGGTAAGAACAGAATGAAAAATGCAATAATTAGAAAAGCGGTATCTGTAAATCTTACCAAATTATAATTGCCAGAATGTTCAATTACTTGAAATAATTTTACAACCACAATCTCCACCAACACCATCTCACTTCTTGTCAGGACTTAGTCCCCTCGGGGGTTCAAATATTATTCTCAGTGTGATATTCCCCTTCAAGAATAAAAGGGAGAGTGGGAAGTGGAGCTGGGGCACAAAAGGGATGTTATTTTTTATCTGCCCCTTTTAATCTGGAAGAGTGAAACCCTCTCTGGATAAACGGAAGCAGAAATATTTCGGTAGAGCAATAACCTCCCCTAATCCCTACAGCCCATCACTAACCTCCCACAATAATTCACAAACATCTCGCGAAAGACACGACGCAGAAGATCAGAAGCTATAAGATCTTCTGCGAAGGTTGTGGGCCACAACTCTAAACAGCGTCCGCACAAACTATGGCAGCTGCGGATACTAGATGCACAAATTGAAAATGTAAAACTCTTCTGTGTGCACCTGTAGTCACACAGAACAGACCATGGACCATATGACCACTTAATGCCCGACGTAATTAACTGGCTCAACCACCGCAGTTCAAAATGTACAGTTGTTGCACTGCATCAACATCAGTCACAGGAAGAAGACTCGCCTCTAAACTCATTATCATTGTTGTCGCTATTAAATCTCCACTCTTGACTAGACCCCTGGGCCAGGCACATACCACATGGTGGAGTCCAACACTTACCGGAACAAGCCGCCGCAGTACAGCCTGACGGCCCGCAACAGCTTGCCGGGTGATACCACTCGCAAGCCTGGCCCGGGTGCCTACAGCCCAGAGAAGGTTAGTGTATGTGTGTGCATGTACATGTGTGTGTGTGTGTATATATTATTTTTGTGGGGAGAGGTGGTGCAGCGGTTAGCGACCTGCGCTACGAACCTGGCGACCCGAGTTCGAGTCCCGCTCATGGCCAACACCAGTGACGATTATCTAAAGTGGTCCTGGACCTCCCCTAGGTCGGCTCAGCCTCAAATGAGTACCTGGTGCAGTGTGTAAACATCTCCACTAGGGAGACAATGGCGGCCGGGCGTGGTTGCTGGCCATCCACCTCCTCGTGTGCCGTTCCGGCCTTCATAAGCGCTCGCTAACAGCACTTGCCTCAATGGTATGTAAGCCTGTACGGGCGTTCTTTGTCTTAATATAAATGTTGAGAGTGGGAGTGCAGCGATGAGCGCACTGCGCTACGAGCCTGGCCACCCAAGTTCGATTCCCGCTCAAGGCCAACACCAGTAGATTTGTGGACGGTCTGACAAAATCATGAGCAACTTGGACACATTATGGGGATCTTGTGGATGATTTGTTTTCACTTGGTATTGGCTTGGTGTCAGGTTTAGACAGGTTTTGTTTGTTCAACTTTCTTCCCATTTTGATTGCCAAGTTCTTATTATCGTAAACATAGATGATGATATCAATAATAATAAGTAGAGATAATTTTTCACGTAATTTTTAATCGTGGACATTATTCCAGAACACAATTCTACTTGGATACAAGTCTCAAACTAAGTTGTTCTTCAGTGCATTTTGTTGACGATTTCGTCAAAAGTCCTTCCTTGATTGAGAAACTCGACACATTCATCAATGACAGCGTGGCCTTCAAAATAAAAGATTTATGATGGGTGGAATTTCTGGCAATGGCCCTTGACTGCACATCGAGAGTCCAGACAAATAGAGTGGAGACGAGTTTGGGACGTCACTTTATATCACGCCGTAGGTGACTGTGCTATTGACGAATGTGCTTAGTGTTTATTTGTTACTGCCCGTGCTTGTGCACCACCGTCAATGCACGATCGCCAGATAATACATTTACATGATTGAGCATAACTTGGTGACACGCATGTACAGTCCAGCGATCAACTGAGCTAGCATGTAGTGTCCATAATTAGTAATAAAGTTAGGTTTGGGTTTTAGGTAGGGTTAGTGGGTACAGTTAGGGTGATGACAATGATTCTGGAAAGAGGCTAAGAGGTATAGTTTGAGCAAAAAATTGCACGAGAGTTAGCACAAGGGCTTTGTTCCGGCGTGTGCATGTAACATTACTGACGACATCGTTTGTCCCAGTCTCACTCTAACGTGGAGTTGTTTTTCAGGTGACGTTGACACATCTCCAGGCGCCAGGATATTCCTTTGGACTGCGCCACTCAGACTATGTGGCTCCTCTCATCATTCATACGGAGGAATAAAAGGACCCCAGGCTATCCCACCCAAGGAGTCCCCATCCACAGCAGATCCAGGGCAATTAACAATACAGTACCGGCACATTCTGGAATCGATTTCAAGCAGGAACAATATTTATTTTTCATAGATCAAGATCTAGAGCAATCAGTGGGCTCCTACTGCCCTTGTCGGAGAGCCAGCACTTGCTGTGTTTGGGCTCTGCTCCTGGCTGGGAATAATTAAACCGACCTTTCAAACATATCAATTTCATGGTCTCAGCACGGTTACCAGTCACCCTATAAAAAGATGATTATATGAGTAGTTATTCACGTAATTTAGAAAAGCGCCTCTCTGTGGGACAAAATATTTATCTCGCGCGATTGAAATGAGGTGAACCACTCTTTACGGAGCGCAACAGAAAGGCGTCTCCAGTGTTACGTGTGAGAAGCCTGTTCAAGTGAAACCCACGGTAAGTAGTTGTGTCACATTCGGGAACCATTTCCTGACGTGAGGCAATGCGTGCTTCGTGTTCAGAAGGATATTTGTTCTCCAATTCATGAATAGGCTTTGGCATTCGAATTCCATTTTTTTTAAAGTCAAGATGACGGCGTTGTCACGTCTAATGTCAACAAGTGTGCCATTAATGGTAGAAAACAGTCCAATCGTTTCCATCCTCGTTCGCAGATTGACATTTGATATCCACAGTCGCAGTACTCATCCCGCGCATTGAAATCGGGTTTTTATTTTTGGTCACTGACCTTTTTTGGATGCCACTGAAACGCCTGTCTTGGTGACCCAGCCTTCAGCACAGTACTTGGTTAGGTCAACGGGAGACCGATGTATCCTTTGCATCATAGGCACGCTGACAGTATGTCTCCTCTACATGTCTATCTCTCCGCGTGAAAAAAAACACATCGATATATTTTATACAATCCATTGGCTGCACTGGCCTTTGGGAGTACATCATTTCAGCAGAAATTGATCCCGTGCGAGCAGACAAACTCTGAACCAGTTTTCTACATAGTGTCATCAATATTGTCGGCTTTGCTTGAATATGGTTCTCGTAGTTCAAACACAAAATCACATAAAATAAAAGCTGGGCAGAGGTTTTTCTTTTTTTTCGCACTGCATCAATATTGCTGAAACGATGCACTCCCAGAAGGCCATGGGGCTGATGGGTTGTGTAAAAATAACTTTTATATTATGTCGAGAGACATATATGACAGGAGATGTATTGTATGCTTCATTATTTTGTTATTTACATAATCTTCAACAATGTAAATGATTCTTTTTGTGTTACCTACGAGGAATTTAACACACGTGATGTCATCTGGCAATTGACGTCATTTTTGGCAGGAAAATAACAGACGTGACATAATGTGATGTCATTTAAGGTGACATCATACCTTTACACCAACCCAATAATACATTTATTTATTTGGATCGTCCAACATTTCATATCTAGGGGTAGTTTCCATATTTTTCGATTTTATTTTGTAAATCAGTAACACGCCCCAACTACCTACTAATGCCTTGCTGAGTCACTCAGTCCTGAAGACGTTGAAAGGGGAGCCTGTTTGGGATGCTGGCCAATGCAGGGTCAGGTGGTGCACACCGCGTCAGTGCTTGGAGGGTTTCGTGGACTATGGAAATGTGTGATACTGTCATACCCGATGGGCCGCTCGGTGGCCAGCAGACGAGGGTAGAACATGGAATAGTTTGTTACCTGCCTGGGCGAACCTTCCAGTGCCGTCCACTCTTAAAGAACGGGTTTTCTCCGAGTGCTCCGTATATAGGAAATACTCTTTTAAAAAAAGCATTGGCCAAACATTACATTTGCAGGAGCCTCCCGAAATGACATCCGAGACTAGGTTAAGCTTTCCTGGGTAAATCAATTCTATTATTATATATTCCATGGACTATTTATGCTTGTCACGATATCAACGGGTATGAGAGAACACCCAAACTTTGCTAAACTGGTTCAAGATCAAGATGTCACCAACACCATAGCCGTCACCGCACCTCGGCCGTAGATTTCCTACCCTCTGCACGTGGTCTCGCAGCTGCTGCACAGAAAAGACACATTTACAAATTTAAAAAGTAGTATCTCAACTGCCCAGCAAATCACTTTCTCACATAATGCTGTATGTGTTTAATGCAATTAGATTTGATCTCTCATTTTATTCTCAATTTTTCTCTCGGGAGTAGAATCAAATTGAAATGATGAAATGTTCGTTCTTGAATCCTACGGGAGCAGTCGAGTATCGTATATCACTTTAATAGGCCCTCTCGACAACACAATTCAGCATTGAGTAATTTGACTTCTGTGTCTTACGTAAGTGTAACATGTTTCAGTCCATCGGCGTATTGGCCTTCGAGCCACATTTACGTGCACCATGTGTGTGAGTAAACAGAGCCTTGGGCAAGTTTTGATTCTAGGCAGATACTGCTGGATTTATCAGATGTTCTTGGCAAGGGTGCTCACTTCGAACGAATGGGCCTTCTGGCATCACATTTTTAAATGATATTGTTTAAAAACCCATACACAGTAATCGCACGTTGTGAGCCATTGCATAAATAAACAATTACATTCTATGGCATTCATAATTGAACTAATGTATTTTATTTCATTACCCACAATGCTCCCCCCCCTCCCACCACAGTGCATGAGTTCAGCATTAGCTTGCGCACTGTAAACAGTGGTTCACCGCGCAGATGTCATTGTGAGCTCCCTTCGCGCTCTCGTGCACGAGTTATTAAAAGCAAAAACGAAATCTTAAAAAAAATGTGTTTCATGTGAATTTAGTCAAAAGGAATCCCCCCAGAATACGTAGAAATACCTTCACGAATTTTATCCGCGAATCTCCGATGGTGGTCGTTACGGGGTGGTCACTGAGCTCCCACCGTGCGCCTCGGGCTTCCAATGCCAAAACTCTCAGCTTTACCCAACGCCTGTCCACCACTTGGTTGCCAAACCGAACGGATGGTGCTCCAAATGCCGAGACGTGTGTCGCCGTGGCTGAAATGCCAACAGATGTTCGCAGTTTCACCGCAGTGGACGTGGTGTGCCCGGGAGGAGTGGGATAGATATCCAGGCACTTCAAGTTTTTTTTAAATTGCTGAGCAAATTTGTCCCACTTGAATGCACCCCCCACCCCCTCGTCAATCAACACAAGTTGTTCTCAGTGAATGTTATTAAATATGAATACGTGTCCGTTTGCGTTGCCTTGTTTGAGGTCTTTTTTCTTTCTTATTGTGTTAATTTATTTGTTGCGACACATGCCAATCGATATGAAAAATATTTGTGTTTCGTGATATGTCGTTTTAATGAGAGTATATTTACAGGGTTACACAATAGTTTCCTCACCCACGTTCTAACCACGCAGATGTCTTCAGAGTTGTAACATTGAATAGCTAGGTAACGGTGAGGGTGCAGCCCTGCAATTTAATGCTTATGCTACTGCGACAAAAAATGCTTCTGCTACTGCAGGCCAAAGGGCCTCCATTAGACCTTCACGAGAGGTCAATGAAAAGTTATTTTGGCCTACTAATTCCACGCTGCCCAGACGTATTAGAAAGTGTGTAACCCACACGTCACACTACCACACACGACCTGCCTATCGTCTTAACTGTGGTGAACCCATTTATACTACCAGGTGGATAGTGACTAAGAGGTGGGGATTTAAGAAACTTGCCCCATTGTTCAACTTTTGTGCTGGGAGGTCGACCCAGCGACCTCTGGATTGCAAGTCCACTGTGATTACCATTACACAACGGTCGCATGCCTACATCGTGACGATATATACATGTGGCAGTAAGGTAGCTTTAACATTATGGATCTCATCAGCAGTCAGTCTTGCGAAACAAACATTGCTGGATTGCCAGATAATATTGGCAAGAGCACTCCATATAAACTATGGACACCTTTTCAAAGCAATACCACACAAACTCATGCATTGCTGCAATAATGTTGATGTATGTATGTTGAAGTTCTTTCGCATGGTACATAGCCAGCCGTGCTAATCAGTGGTGCGAAATCTCTGTGGAGTGTCATGGGTAAAAGAAAATGAGTTTGACTATTGAGCTGCTTTGCCTCTGATTCCCTTCCTACCGACCAACACACGTGCAAAGTAATATCAGTAAGCGATGTCACTCATGGGAAACTTGGTTTTTCCCAATATTTCCTTTTTTTGAGGTATAGCTGTCCTGGGAAATCTGCAGGTCTTCTCATGACAATTAAAAGTCCTGTTTTTTGTCAGTTGCATAATAATACCAATGCAACACTCGAGACAAAGCGTGTACATGTAGGGCTCCCCTCTTCAGGCATTGTGAGATTTTCTCCTTCACGTGCCATGTCAAAGTTTGTACCTCAGAGGTGGCGACCGTAGTCCCAGAAGTGGAAAAGAAGGGCCACACCAAGGGCATACAATTTTAAAAAGTATTAACACTCAACGCCGACGAATCGGGAGAATCAATAGCTGCACACAATATGCGTTGGAAACACTTTGGTGAGCAGCAGCACGCATTTGCTGATTTTCTGTAACAGCACTTTGGAAGGCTCATTGAACATCCTTGTTTTATTTTTAAATCCTTTATATTAAGTTCACTTGCTTGCTTGCTTGCGCGCTTACGACCGTGCAAATCTTTCGGTCGGTTTTTAACCCACTTCCCGTGATCCAATCGAGCTGACATTTTGCTCACAGACTCGTTGTGCGTGACAATTTATTTTCGTGAATTTTTTTTCTCCAAAATTTGACACTTTTTAGGAAAAAATAATTATATTTAATTACCAATTGCTTAATGGTGGCAGGCAATCATCTGACCCATAGGTGGCAGCCATCTCAAGCCAGAGGACGAGAGGACTCGAGCCGCCACGCATATAAAGGATTTATAGTGGAAAACTTTGTTTTTACGGGTTAATTTGTATTTCTTCAGCAGCACGCACGCTCCGTTCCGCTCTGCCCACGGTGCCATGAGCACGACGCACAAAGGTCGCCCAATCCAACCGAGCGCTGCTCAGATAGCATCGTCAAAATGGTCTTCGCACCTGCAGGCTGTGCCGCCGATCGTGTTTAAACGTTTCCACAATGTGAGTCAAATCCAGGCTCTTGGTGAGAACCTCCATCGGTTCCTCGTCTCTCTTGGCTTCCTTCCAGAAACTCTTCGAGACTCAGTTCACCTTGAAGGAGACAGGGCACGCGAGAGAATGACGACTGACTGCAGTGTGGTACTTGCAGTGTTACATGAGTACTGCATGGCTAGATCCAAGCCAACACCTCATCGCCTCAATTCAATTCCAATGTGTAAACGTCATTTAATATTGCGGTGAATGTAGGGTACTGTTATGCAATACATCTGCTAAACGACGTCATCGAAGGCCATTATGCATAGAGTGAATGTTTATCACCTGGCCAATGAGCACGTGCTCTGGCAGGCACCCGATCTTGTCAGAATATCGGAAGCTAAGTCTGAATGGTGCTTGTATGGGCAGCCACCACGAATACAAACAGTTGCTATAGGTTGCTGTGGGGCTGCGTTGTCAGCAAAGAGCAGTGGGGATAAAAAAAAACCCGTTGTACTGTATTATGCTCTGTCAATGCTCCCCCGCTTTCACCAACCCTCACTGACTAGTGTGGTGAAATATCGCCAACATGAACCCGTCACCCCCCGTACAGAGTGCGGAGGGCCTTTGTCCAGCAGTGGGCTGAGCGTTAATGAGTTAATGATGACGTCACCCTGCTGCTGCTCTATATAAGAACGGGAGACAGCAGAGCCTCACCATTCTGGCGAATTGCCCGATGATGCTGGATGCAATTACCAGCGAAACGTCGTACTCAAATTGTAAATGTTGTGGTTTCACGCTTCAACACACCGGTGGGCTAAAGCAGTGAACTATTTGTCTTTTGTCAACGTGACACTTTTTTTTTACTGATTGGCCGTGTCGGGTGGTGGAGGATTACGACACATTTATAAATAACGCGATCTAAACCCAAAAACGTTGATTATGAGTGGGCTGAGCGTTTGTGCGGCACGTTACTTGCTCTGCGGTGACACCTTGCAGAGTGTCACGCGTGGCTGGAGTCGCTGTGGGTACCGGCGTAGTAAACATAGCCAAATAAAATCGGCACTGCGTCTAAGCGGACGGCTGCAATCGAATCTCGAGCGAGAGGGGCTATTAAGGCTGCCAAATTTTACGACGTGTAATTCGTTTCTTTTTTTTCCCACGAACCAATACCCAACATTTTGAAATCGTGCCTCATAAATAACTGAAATAAGTAGCGCGTAGGCTAACACACGACAAGAACTACTGAAGCTTGAGAGTTTGTCATCGCTAGATTATTTACGAAGTATTACTGTGGGTCAACTGATAACTAGAATCCTTAACGTCTGCACAGAATAGCTCGCAAATCTGCAAAACATCCTCTTGGCGGCTAGATTTGTCATCAGCCATTTTGACGGAACATTTGCCGCAAAGGGCAACCCCAAAAGTCACTCGATCCAGCAACAAAACCGCTACGTGTTCCCAGTAAACATGCCGACGTTGGCCCAACGTTCAATGTTTGCTGGGGTTAGTATCTGATGTGCAATGAGCAGTACCAATAGCAGGAATAGTAGCAGATGAGGCGTTCTCCTCTCCTTAGTAGAAGTTTGCCGTGCTCGTTGGGAAGCCATCAACATCCCTCTCCATGGCAAGGAAAGAAAATCATAGCTTCACAGGCAATTCGTACTCCAAAAGGTTAATTTCTCAAATATTTTTTTTTCCCGACAGAATATTTCTACATTTTTTTATGTGAAACAAACAAAAAAAAAACGCGTGGTACTAGATTCACCAACCTGCAGTCGGTCCCAGGTTCAACCGCAAAATAGTATTCGCCAGAACAGCTTCGTGGTGTTATTCTTTGGTTTTTTCGGTAAAGTCACGTATAAAGATAAACTAATAAATTAAATATTTTTTTCTTTTATTTTATCTTTATACGTGACTTTACCGAAAAAAACAAAGAATAATTCCTGCAGTCACGAAAACTCCATATTAAGCTTCGTGGTGGTCTCATTCTGTTGCCCTAAACCTCGGAGGGTGGGGGTTTTGACTACACACTGAGAACCATTAATGGGGTCAGTTAGTGAAGCTTTTTAATAAAAGAGTATCAACGGCTACGAATGTCCTACATGAATCAGAGAATCGCTTTTCATCAATCATGCGGGGCTTTAGTTACTGCAAATGCCGCTTAAAAGAAAGACGCAGATGGATATGGGTGTCGCAACTTTTGCACGTGCTGCGTGGAGAATATGAACGAGTTACACATTTAAACATAGTATCAGATTTTAGTTTAATTTTTGTTCACGACAAATTTTTACCTTTTTCTCACACATTTTTAATTTTCAGGTAATTTTACATTATTTAGCATTTAGGTGGCCTAGTGCAAACCAACATTTCGTCGCCTGGTGTCACGTGTGTGGCAGCAAAAGTATCGAGAGAAGAAATCGAACTTTCCAACATTTAGTATCTCGACCTGGATTTTTGGGATTAGGCCTTTAAAGCGAGATAACATCTCCTATGGATAACGATGCGTTTAGGTCGCGTAAGGACAGCTGTTGATTACACGCACGATAAACAGTTACACTGTTGACTGTTTTATGCGTAGACCAGATAAAATCAGGTTATGTACTTCAGCTTTCCCCACCACTTTGTCGCCCGTTCTTTGATTGCAATTCAAAGACAGAAAGCTCAATACACGTGTCAACAACAGTGTGGCCTTAAACAGAATAATATATAATAGGTGACGTTTTGGCAAATGGTCCTTATTGATAGCAGATTAATAGAGAGGCCAGAGATAGAGAGTGGGTAATAAGACTTGGAGTCTACACTTAACACCATGGAGACTGATGACGATGAAATGTTAGGCAGTTTTTATTGGTGAATGTGTTGATTTTTTGGCACGTGTCCTTGTGCATCACTGCCAATGCAGCATCACCAAATTAATTTGTTCACTTGAAAGAAATATCGGGTGGAGAAACTAAGCATTTCATGGCCTCAGTGCAAATTGCATGTGACATTCAATGACCCCGTGGACTTGATAATCGGAATCTGTATTTATCTTGGAGAAATCCGATGAGCTATGAAGCTCTTTCCCCCCACAAATTTCCAGTAAGGGTGGGTCAGAAAGTAGCAACAACAACAATTACCAAAAAAACTATTGGAGTGCAAAGTATAGGAAAGGT